GTTCAGTCTAACAAGGACCCAGTATACAGTTCAGTCTGAGAAGGAACCCAGAATAAAGTCTCAGTCTGAGAACGGACCCAGTATAAAGTTTATTCTGAGAACGGACCACAGTATAAAGTTCAGTCTGTCTCTGAGAAGGACCCCAGTATAAAGTTTAGTCTGAGAAGGACCCCAGTATTAAGTTCAGTCCGAGAAGGACGTCAGTATAAAAATAAGTTTGGCATAGAGAGGCCTTCTGTGTTTTTCTATATATACATCAGTGAGTGTAAGGCTTACTTAGGCTTGGTTCTATTGCTCTGATTGGCTGGATGAAAATAACTTTTTGATAACTACACACACTTGTTATTCATGGCTGGGCTGACTAAGTAGGTATACTTAGACCAGCCGGCTTGTTTACACTTGTCAGTGGTATGTCTATCTGACTTTAGCCAAGGCTGTATTTCCTCAACATTTGGGGGAGGATATTCGCCAGGATTCAACTCTACAACTATGTGTTTGTAACCAAAGTTTGCCGTGTGTGTAAAACTATTTATATATCTAAAAGTGTGTACATGTCATTTCTGTGGAACTTAAGTAGCTGACTGGATTATTTTCACCTATTGCTGTACATTTAACTTATGTTTATATATATACACCTACACAGCTATAGGTTTTGAAGGAACATTTGATTGTAAGTGAAATGGATGTGGGTCAGATGTTCTTAATATACACTGAACAAGCCCAATCAAAAATTTGATACACATAACCCAGAAGATGGATAGTGAATTGTCATGATTTAAACTTCATGACGTCACAATTAAGTGGATACTGTTTGTATGGTTCTACGTGTATCCTAGCACATTTAACGTAAAAGTAGGTTTACTCAACCCGTTGTACTTTTTGCATAATGATGTGTTTACATGAAGGAGAAATGGATTTTAAAAGAGGCAATGCTCCGATATACCAAAATATATGTGTTTTGGCTTACTCCTAGATAAGAAAAAGGTCAGGGATGGTTCACTGTAGTAGATGTGTGTCAACCATTACTAGTGGCACGTAAGCCACACACTTTGCCTTTGAAGTAATTTAGTTGTTAAAGTCATAGATTTATTTAGAATTGTAGTCACAATTTTTTTAAATTGATTTGGAAGTCTATCTAGCTGTAAAAGTTGACTACTGGAAGCATATTCTGCTTGTGGTATAATTCTAGTTACTATAACCCCACTAATTGTGGTATAATTCTAGTTACTATAACCCAACTAATTGTGGTATAATTCTAGTTACTATAACCCCATTATTTACTATAACCCCACTAATTGTGGTATAATTCTAGTTACTATAACCCAACTAATTGTGGTATAATTCTAGTTACTATAACCCCACTAATTACTATAACCCCACTAATTGTGGTATAATTCTAGTTACTATAACCCCACTAATTGTGTTAAGATCATTGTCTCTCAGTGTGTAGTGGATAAACAGTTTGGAACAATAGATCAAGATGATAATGAACTAGAAATTAGATACTGTGTTGTAACTGATTTTGGAAATATTCTGTCCATGATTCATGGGTATGCTAGTTGACAAGTACACCTTCATATGTGACAGAAGATGACATTCACTTTTGGACACTTCACATCGTTATGGATTACTATATATAACGCCTGAACCGATCAAGTTGTGATTTAACATTGTACCCTTTGACCACCAACTGACATATATATACTGATATCATCTTGAAACTCATGATATCAGAATCTAAAACTGCTCCAACAGTGCAGAACTCTTCATTCCATGATGTCGTCTAATGGAAGTTTTCTAAATTTCAAATGTAAGTACAACATATTTCATTTTATTGTATGTTTTGTGCATGACCATTCAAATATCAATTTAAACTTCAGAAGTAATATAATGGTAAAATTAGGATGTGAAAGACATTTTACTACAAAAACAAAATATACCAGGTATTAAAAAAAATCTATATCTATAGCATGGATAATATGTAATATATGGTATGTAAATTTTCGTCTATACAATGTCTGGTGATGAGGATTCTCCAACTGGAAAAATACATATATAATGTATAAGAGATTGATACTTACTTCGCAAAACTATATTAATGACATTTTTAGCTCACTTTGCACAAAGTGCCTGTTCGTTTATGGTCATCCATCGTCCTTCAACTTTTTCTCTGAACAACTTCTTTTGAATAACCAAGAGGCCTAGATTACTGATATTGGGCCAGTAGGTATCTGGGACAGAGTGAAATAAATTAGCTTGACCTACTTTCAAGGTACCAAGGGGTCAAATAGGTAAAAATCTTAAAACAACTTCTGAAAAACCTGGAAGCCCAGAGTGATGATATTTTGCCAGTAGGTACCTGGGATGTAGTGCTTGGAAGTTCTTACCACTGGATGACCTTGACCTATGTTGAAGGTCACATGAGTCAAATGTAATAAAACCTTTGAACAACTTCTCCTGAATAATCAAGAGGCCTAGATTACTGATACTTGACCAGTAGAAACCTGGGATAAAGTGCTATAAATGCTTCTCATAAAAATGACCTTAATCTACTTTCAAAATCACAAGGGTCTAATATGGAAAAACCTTTTAAACAACTTTTTCTGAATAACCAAGAGGCCTAGATTTAGTGATGTTACTTGGCCAGTAGGTTACTGGCATGGAGTGCTTTAAAAAATCCTCAAATAAATTACCTTTACCTAGCTACTTTACTGGTCAAAGGGGTGAATAATTTTAAAACCTTAAAACAACTTCTTCTGCATAATTAGGAGGCCCTGTGTGATGATTTCTGACCAGTAACATGCTTGGTAGAGTAATATGAGAATTTTCATATAATTTAATCTTGCTAGTAACAAGTGTTTTAATTGGCTTAAAAAATGACGTCACCATTTGTAAAGTCGCTTTTGATTGGCTGATACAGCGGCGTAACAATTTCTAAGAGAAAAGTGTCCATCAATAAAAGTGGATTTCCACAGGGATTGTGTATAGTAGATTAAATTATAAGGATTAACTTGAATTTATTTTTTATGTTATGGAGCTAATAACATAAAAAACCTGAGTGTACTCTTGTCTAGAGTACACTCTGTCTTTTTGTGTTATAACTCCATAACATAAAAATATATTCAAGTTAATCCTTAATAAGTCTTGAATATTGTTAAGTCAAGGAGACTCAATATGTGGAAATATTTGAAAAATTACGCTTACTGAGGACATTTTCTTATTATTGCTCAAATATCCAGGTGAGCAACACAGGCCCTCTGGGCCTTCTGCTTAGTGATTGGATTAACGATTATCAAATGTGACCATTTTGTTATGTCTATTGTGGAAGTGTTTATGGATGAGAGAATAGTTCCATCTTCTTACAATTCTCAGTAATAATGATTGAAAATTAGATAAGTACTCCATGAAGCTGACTGGCTTTCCTGGCCTTAGTCTTTATCTCTGTGTGTAAATAAGTACTCCATGAAGCTGACTGGCTTTCCTGGCCTTAGTCTTTATCTCTGTGTGTAAATAAGTACTCCATGAAGCTGACTGGCTTTCCTGGCCTTAGTCTTTATCTCTGTGTGTAAATAAGTACTCCATGAAGCTGACTGGCTTTCCTGGCCTTAGTCTTTATCTCTGTGTGTAAATAAGTACTCCATGAAGCTGACTGGCTTTCCTGGCCTTAGTCTTTATCTCTGTGTGTAAATAAGTACTCCATGAAGCTGACTGGCTTTCCTGGCCTTAGTCTTTATCTCTGTGTGTAAATAAGTACTCCATGAAGCTGACTGGCTTTCCTGGCCTTAGTCTTTATCTCTGTGTGTAAATAAGTACTCCATGAAGCTGACTGGCTTTCCTGGCCTTAGTCTTTATCTCTGTGTGTAAATAAGTACTCCATGAAGCTGACTGGCTTTCCTGGCCTTAGTCTTTATCTCTGTGTGTAAATAAGTACTCCATGAAGCTGACTGGCTTTCCTGGCCTTAGTCTTTATCTCTGTGTGTAAATAAGTACTCCATGAAGCTGACTGGCTTTCCTGGCCTTAGTCTTTATCTCTGTGTGTAAATAAGTACTCCATGAAGCTGACTGGCTTTCCTGGCCTTAGTCTTTATCTCTGTGTGTAAATAAGTACTCCATGAAGCTGACTGGCTTTCCTGGCCTTAGTCTTTATCTCTGTGTGTAAATAAGTACTCCATGAAGCTGACTGGCTTTCCTGGCCTTAGTCTTTATCTCTGTGTGTAAATAAGTACTCCATGAAGCTGACTGGCTTTCCTGGCCTTAGTCTTTATCTCTGTGTGTAAATAAGTACTCCATGAAGCTGACTGGCTTTCCTGGCCTTAGTCTTTATCTCTGTGTGTAAATAAGTACTCCATGAAGCTGACTGGCTTTCCTGGCCTTAGTCTTTATCTCTGTGTGTAAATAAGTACTCCATGAAGCTGACTGGCTTTCCTGGCCTTAGTCTTTATCTCTGTGTGTAAATAAGTACTCCATGAAGCTGACTGGCTTTCCTGGCCTTAGTCTTTATCTCTGTGTGTAAATAAGTACTCCATGAAGCTGACTGGCTTTCCTGGCCTTAGTCTTTATCTCTGTGTGTAAATAAGTACTCCATGAAGCTGACTGGCTTTCCTGGCCTTAGTCTTTATCTCTGTGTGTAAATAAGTACTCCATGAAGCTGACTGGCTTTCCTGGCCTTAGTCTTTATCTCTGTGTGTAAATAAGTACTCCATGAAGCTGACTGGCTTTCCTGGCCTTAGTCTTTATCTCTGTGTGTAAATAAGTACTCCATGAAGCTGACTGGCTTTCCTGGCCTTAGTCTTTATCTCTGTGTGTAAATAAGTACTCCATGAAGCTGACTGGCTTTCCTGGCCTTAGTCTTTATCTCTGTGTGTAAATAAGTACTCCATGAAGCTGACTGGCTTTCCTGGCCTTAGTCTTTATCTCTGTGTGTAAATAAGTACTCCATGAAGCTGACTGGCTTTCCTGGCCTTAGTCTTTATCTCTGTGTGTAAATAAGTACTCCATGAAGCTGACTGGCTTTCCTGGCCTTAGTCTTTATCTCTGTGTGTAAATAAGTACTCCATGAAGCTGACTGGCTTTCCTGGCCTTAGTCTTTATCTCTGTGTGTAAATAAGTACTCCATGAAGCTGACTGGCTTTCCTGGCCTTAGTCTTTATCTCTGTGTGTAAATAAGTACTCCATGAAGCTGACTGGCTTTCCTGGCCTTAGTCTTTATCTCTGTGTGTAAATAAGTACTCCATGAAGCTGACTGGCTTTCCTGGCCTTAGTCTTTATCTCTGTGTGTAAATAAGTACTCCATGAAGCTGACTGGCTTTCCTGGCCTTAGTCTTTATCTCTGTGTGTAAATAAGTACTCCATGAAGCTGACTGGCTTTCCTGGCCTTAGTCTTTATCTCTGTGTGTAAATAAGTACTCCATGAAGCTGACTGGCTTTCCTGGCCTTAGTCTTTATCTCTGTGTGTAAATAAGTACTCCATGAAGCTGACTGGCTTTCCTGGCCTTAGTCTTTATCTCTGTGTGTAAATAAGTACTCCATGAAGCTGACTGGCTTTCCTGGCCTTAGTCTTTATCTCTGTGTGTAAATAAGTACTCCATGAAGCTGACTGGCTTTCCTGGCCTTAGTCTTTATCTCTGTGTGTAAATAAGTACTCCATGAAGCTGACTGGCTTTCCTGGCCTTAGTCTTTATCTCTGTGTGTAAATAAGTACTCCATGAAGCTGACTGGCTTTCCTGGCCTTAGTCTTTATCTCTGTGTGTAAATAAGTACTCCATGAAGCTGACTGGCTTTCCTGGCCTTAGTCTTTATCTCTGTGTGTAAATAAGTACTCCATGAAGCTGACTGGCTTTCCTGGCCTTAGTCTTTATCTCTGTGTGTAAATAAGTACTCCATGAAGCTGACTGGCTTTCCTGGCCTTAGTCTTTATCTCTGTGTGTAAATAAGTACTCCATGAAGCTGACTGGCTTTCCTGGCCTTAGTCTTTATCTCTGTGTGTAAATAAGTACTCCATGAAGCTGACTGGCTTTCCTGGCCTTAGTCTTTATCTCTGTGTGTAAATAAGTACTCCATGAAGCTGACTGGCTTTCCTGGCCTTAGTCTTTATCTCTGTGTGTAAATAAGTACTCCATGAAGCTGACTGGCTTTCCTGGCCTTAGTCTTTATCTCTGTGTGTAAATAAGTACTCCATGAAGCTGACTGGCTTTCCTGGCCTTAGTCTTTATCTCTGTGTGTAAATAAGTACTCCATGAAGCTGACTGGCTTTCCTGGCCTTAGTCTTTATCTCTGTGTGTAAATAAGTACTCCATGAAGCTGACTGGCTTTCCTGGCCTTAGTCTTTATCTCTGTGTGTAAATAAGTACTCCATGAAGCTGACTGGCTTTCCTGGCCTTAGTCTTTATCTCTGTGTGTAAATAAGTACTCCATGAAGCTGACTGGCTTTCCTGGCCTTAGTCTTTATCTCTGTGTGTAAATAAGTACTCCATGAAGCTGACTGGCTTTCCTGGCCTTAGTCTTTATCTCTGTGTGTAAATAAGTACTCCATGAAGCTGACTGGCTTTCCTGGCCTTAGTCTTTATCTCTGTGTGTAAATAAGTACTCCATGAAGCTGACTGGCTTTCCTGGCCTTAGTCTTTATCTCTGTGTGTAAATAAGTACTCCATGAAGCTGACTGGCTTTCCTGGCCTTAGTCTTTATCTCTGTGTGTAAATAAGTACTCCATGAAGCTGACTGGCTTTCCTGGCCTTAGTCTTTATCTCTGTGTGTAAATAAGTACTCCATGAAGCTGACTGGCTTTCCTGGCCTTAGTCTTTATCTCTGTGT